AGAGGGGGCCCCCCTGCTTAAGCCTACATTCCAGGCCCGTCTGAAGTTTGCTAGAGTGCATTTGGATGATCCAGAAGAGGATTGGGAGAATGTCATATGGTCAGATGAAACCAAAATAGAACTTTTTGGTAAAAACTCAACTCGTCGTGTTTGGAGGACAAAGAATGCTGAGTTGCATCCAAAGAACACCATACCTACTGTGAAGCATGGGGGTGGAAACATCATGCTTTGGGGCTGTTTTTCTGCAAAGGGACCAGGACGACTGATCCGTGTAAAGGAAAGAATGAATGGGGCCATGTATCGTGAGATTTTGAGTGAAAACCTCCTTCCATCAGCAAGGGCATTGAAGATGAAACGTGGCTAGGTCTTTCAGCATGACAATGATCCCAAACACACCGCCCGGGCAACGAAGGAGTGGCTTCGTAAGAAGCATTTCAAGGTCCTGGAGTGGCCTAGCCAGTCTCCAGATCTCAACCCCATAGAAAGTCTTTGGGGGGAGTTGAAAGTCTGTGTTGCCCAGCGACAGCCCCAAAACATCACTGCTCTAGAGGAGATCTGCATGGAGGAATGGGCCCAAATACCACAACAGTGTGGAAATGTGAAGATTACAGAAAACGTTGACCGTGTCATTGCCAACAAAGGGTATATAACAAAGTATTGAGAAACTTTTGATTGAACAAAATTATTTTCCACCAATTGCAATAAATTCATAAAAATCCTACAATGTGACTGATTTTTTTCTCTTGTCTGTCATGTTGTGTACCTATGGAAAATAAAGCCTCTCTCATCTTTTAAGGGAAAGCACAATGGTGGCTGACTAAATACTTTTTTCCCCCACTGTAATAGATAAACTTTATCCCATCACTCACACATATGAAAGACAGATCTAATTAATGGAAAAATCTTCCCATAAATCTTCCCAGCAGAATAAACCTTTCAGAATAGCATGGCTCCCAAAGTTTTATATTTATTCTCAGTAATACCAATTATCCACTGAAGAAATCTTTTAAAAAAGTATACTCGGCCATAAGACTTTTATATTGGCAAATAAAACTCCTGGAATTGTTATCAACTCGACACCCAGGGCTTTTTTACTTGCGACACACAGTTAATGCCCTAAAGAGGAAACAATGGGGTACATATTGAAGATGTGGCATGCTCATACCCAGAATCTTTTCGGTTCTATTTTCCAAAGGATAAAGCGAAGAACATTAACAAAATTCATTAGTTAAGAACACTATAACAATATGGAAGAAAATGAATATTACTACAAGAAACCAATATCACTCCCTAAAAACACAACCCTATGGACAATCCTTGGATAGCTTTTCAGAATTCACTGATAAATTGGTCCACATGGAAACTAAAGGCATAGAAACCATTAAATGACATGGTAATAGGAAATACATATATTTCCATGACAGCATTAAAAAGCTATTTTGGACTGACCAATGTAGATATTTTCAAATACATGCAACTTAATTTTCCTATCAAGACTTTTCTATTTTGGACATCAGAGCAATCTGATGGAAAATTGAGTCAGAAAAAGGATTATAATAAGTAACAAAAACTGCAGAGAGCCATCCAACTGACAATTCTTTTTTTATGTAAACATTGGAACCAAGACTAAAAGCTTGCACAAGAGGAGGAAGTGGAACAAATAATGAATACAGTTAACTAATGTACTAACATAAACCGTTTTTTCCTATTTTGGTTGCATTACAACCTGTAATTTAAATGGATTTGGATTTGGGATTTATGTAATGGACATACACAAAATAGTCCAAATTGGTGAAGTGAAATGAAAAAAAGAACTTGTTTCAAAAAATTCTAAAATATAAATAACGGAAAAGTGGTGCGTGCATATGTATTCACCCCCTTTGCTATGAAGCCCCTAAATAAGATCTGGTGCAACCAATTACATTCAGAAGTCACATAATTAGTTAAATAAAGTCCACCTGTGTGCAATCTAAGTGTCACATGATCTGTCACATGATCTCAGGATATATACACCTGTTCTGAAAGGCCCCAAAGTCTGCAACACCACTAAGCAAGGGGCACCACCAAGCAAGCAGCACCATGAAGACCAAGGAGCTCTCCAAACAGGTCCGGGACAAAGTTGTGGAGAATTACAGATCAGGGTTGGGTTATAAAAAAAATATCTGAAATGTTGAACATCCCTGGGAGCAACATTAAATCCATTATTAAAAAATGTGACAACAAACCTGCCAAGAGAGGGCCGCCCACCAAAACTCATGGACCAGGCAAGGAGGGCATTAATCAGAGAGGCAACAAAGAGACCAAAGATAACCCTGAAGGAGCTGCAAAGCTCCACAGCGGCGATTGGAGTATCTGTCCATAGGACCACTTTAAGCCGTACACTCCACAGAGCTGGGCTTTACAGAAGAGTGGCCAGAAAAAAGCCATTGCTTAAAGAATGAAATAAGCAAACATGCTGTGGGGATGTTTTTCATCGGCAGGGACTGGGAAACTGGTCAGAATTGAAGGAATGATGGATGGAGCTAAATACAGGGAAATTCTTGAGGGAAACCTGTTTCAGTCTTCCAGAGATTTGAGACTGGGACGGAGGTTCACCTTGCAGCAGGACAATGACCCTAAGCATACTGCTAAAGCAACATTCGAGTGTTGTAAGGGGAAACATTTAAATATCTTGGAATGGCCTAGTCAAAGCCCAGACCTCAATCCAATTGCGAATCTGTGGTATGACTTAAAGATTGCTGTACCCCAGCGTAACCCATCCAACTTGAAGGAGCTGGAGCAGTTTTGCCTTGAAGAATGGGCAAAAATCCCAGTGGCTAGATGTGCCAAGCTTATAGAGACATACCCCAAGATACTTGCAGCTGTAATTGCTGCAAAAGGTGGCTCTACAAAGTATTGACTTTGGGGGGGTGAATAGTTATAAACGCTCAAGTTTTCAGTTTTTTTGTCTTATTTCACAAAAAAATATATTTTGCATCTTCAAAGTGGTAGGCATGTTGTGTAAATCAAATGATACAAACCCCCCAAAAATCAATTTTAATTCCAGGTTTTAAGGCAACAAAATAGGAAAAATGCCAAGGGGGGTGAATACTTTCGCAAGCCACTGTAAACTAATGTATGGAATTTATTACACAAGGGACAAAATTCACAAATTCTACAGCACAACGGTAGTCGTGTCTTTTTGTAAAACTAACAATGACTCAATAATCCATGCCTTCTGGGAATGCTATGAAGTCTAAAAGTTATGGGCGGAGTTAGGTTGGCTGTCAAAAGTATTACAATGTAAATGTACTTTTAATCCACCTGTCTGCATATTTCAAGACATGCCATATCGGGGTGCAGTGAGATACTTTTCTCTTCAATCATCTTGAAAAAACATATACTTAAACTGGAAATCAACCAATGCTCTATTATTAACACAATGGAAAGGTCAAATGATTTATTATCTAAATGTTGAAAGTGCGTGGGCGACGAAGAGAAACAAAATGGTGCAGTTTGAGGCCATGTGGCAGAGAGTGAAGCGGGCCCTGGAGATGGGGGTGTGAGCAGGTGGGTCTGGGCAGGTGTGTTGTCATTTGTATGTGTTTTATTGTATTGTTAAAAAATATGTTACAATTACAAAAAAAGCAGTAGGTGGGATTCCTTTCCTTGTCTGTTACATTGGTGAGTGATTGTGATAATGTTTTCTATCTGTCAGGGAGAGTGCTGCAGGAGACACCCTCAAGACACACCGTGAGTGACAGACCGGACATAAGTTGGACTACACACTACTTGCTCTCTGTCTAATCAGACAGTGTTGCTGAGTGGACACAGACTTGGTATGTTGTGCTTTTCAAATGGGCTGGAGTTCATTGATGAGGTGAGCCTACGGACGCTTCCTTACTCTTGAGCTGAAAAATACTTTTCCCTGGACGGTTGTCATGAAGATGTAACGGTTATCAGGCTCAGTTTACATCCAGACAGCCACACCATGCGATATGCTAAGATATTCTCTCATATGCCATCTTTTAAAATCTCATATCTTTAAAAATGTAGCTCCTCGTGTTCATTTTTACCCCTTTTTGATTGGTGAGACATTAAAATATCCATCCGGCTCTATGTCCTTTGATTGGCTGTAGATTGAACCGAAATGTTATTCTAATCTACCGGTAGACAGAATCTGAAAAGACTCAACAACTGCTGTGAGAGTTGTTGATGGGTGTGACTGCTGTTATGTTCATAACATATTATTGTATGAATAAGGAGCTGTTCTGAGAAGAGATGGTTTCTGTTTTTATTTCCACTGGAGCAAGGCTACATAGTAATCCGTGAAGAGCGAGCTGGAGCAAGTCTACTGTGGAGAAGTGGTCAGAGATAGAAGCCTTACATCAAATGGCAGCTCCCCTCAAACTCTGATTTCTTTTTCTTGACAGCCTCACCTTATTATACCCGTTGTACACCCCTTCTATGGCTGGAACATCCATATTGAGAAGGAGCAAATGCATGAGGCCTCTGTGACTCTTCTGATTGCTGTGAAAATATAAAACAGTGAAGGCCATTAATGCCTTTTATTGTCTCAGGTACAGGTAGGTACCTGTAGCAGTCAAATGGAGAAGGCAAATGGATTGTACATTTTGTAATTAATGGTCTTGTGCAATTGATTGGTACTTATTAAAGAATTGTGTTTAAAATTCACATTTAGTAATTATTATTTTTTAATTGTCTAAAACGATGTCCAGCACACAACCCACAATTGCTCTGTACAAGAACAATCTCTCTTCACAAATAACAAAAAAGTTAACAATTTTACGGTATTCATTCTTTATTATTTATTCCTATTTATCATAGACATAACTGACTGTGGCTTTTTAAATTAAATGTGGACTTCCAGAAGGGCTTGCTGGAAAGGGTATCATTGGAATAGTCAACTTTGAAAAGCTGCGCTCTGAATAAACTCATGTCTACTATGTATGGATTCATACTGAAATGTGTGCTTAGCTGCTTTCATGCCCTCGTCTTCATCAATGACCAGACACGACTATGGGGATTGGTGGGATGAGCAGGATGTGCACATCCATCACATTGTTCCCCGTTAACCCTGGTAGGAGCAGTCTCTGCCCACCAGACAGGTGTGAAAAGAAGGTGAAGGAATCATTGTTAATGAGGAAGCCTTCAGTGTCCAGCCCCTGTGCACGTGCTTCTTCTCCAAGCCCTGCGTCTGTGACCGCCCCTGCTGCCTCAGTTGGCCCGTCCTGACCATCTGTCCCACCACTCAGGAACAGGGGACCCTTCGGAGGGAGTGCCATGCCTCCCAGCTCCAGCCACACTCGCAGGGCCAGCTCCTGGTTCTGCCCACCACGCCCCTTGCCTGCCAACTGCACAGTGGGCTCTCCCCCAGCCAGCAGACTGGTGGCTCCTCAGCCCTCCCCACGCCCCTCGCTAAGCACCTGCATGGCACGGCACAAGTCCCGTCTTGGGCCCCAGCTTCAGAATCTCAGCAGGCAACTCAGGAGGAGGTTCGTCACAGGAGCAGGCAAAGTGAGCCAGTAGACCATAAAAGGCGAGAGACAGACTGTACGTCCTCACACACCCCTGGCGACAGCACAACTGGACGGAATCCGAGCTCCCGTGCATGTCGCCCTGCGCATTCCAGAGCAATGCTATTGGAGCCAATTACAGCATTGAGAACGTGTCACCCTGTCTGACTGCTCTCCAGCCTCCTCCCACCGGGGAGCTGAGCGTCCAAGGACCTCCTTGACTGAGGCGGGGAGAGAGGCTGCGGACAGCCCACAGCGGTCCAGCCACCGGCCAAATCTCCTCAGGCCACGCCTCAGTCTACACTGTGGGGCCACTGGCTATCAAGTCCAAGGGATCTCCGATTACATCAGACTGAACCAGGGCCACCACCTGTTAGAAAATGTTAACAGGAAAATTGTATTTGACCAAATATGACCACAATATAAAGTGAATGTGCAAGAAGTTTAGGTCTTTGGGTGAAAGCTCTATAATGAGCTAGTAGTTGCGGTCTTATCTGAGCAGGGTGAGCGCAGTGTGCAAGTCCACCTCCCTTAAATAGCGACAGGGCACGGCGTAGTTAAGCTCCTGAATGGTGGCGCCAGCACCAGCCAGTCTGCGTGTAACATCCTGTTTTTCTTGAAGAGAGATTGGTGGGACTGGTGCAGGCAAGACTGCAGACCCTCCTACAAACACAATATGTATATGTTAAATGTCCAATGCAGCTGATTTTATCTCTATCAAATCATTTCTGGATAACAGTTAAGGACCTTACTGTGATTGTTTTAAATAAAAATAAAAAACCTTTTAGCAAAGACCAATTCTTCAAGCAAGAATTTAGCTAGGACTGACGGAGTGGTTTGAGTTGGTCTATTAACTAATTTAGCGCATGGTGATGTCACCATAGAAGGTCAAAACAGGCAGACATTTAAGGCAGTCTTTTCAAACAGCTCTTACACTAAAAGGGCATTATGATCATTTTCACAATTTCACAGTATTATTCCAACCTCGTAGCACAGGAAACACAGGAAAATCTAGTTTTTGACTGCACTGATATTTATGGACACCCTGTAGCTTCGGTGATTCAGATTAAGTAATAACTATATAGTTTGTTAGACAATTACATTATGTAGTAGTAGTAGTTGGGTATCAATTTACTTGAAATGAGTACAAGCAACAGGTCTTTCTAAGTCAGTGTGCTGGCCAGCTTCTTAATACATTCGGCTTCCCCCTGGGCATCAGCAGCTGGCAGGTTGTGTTTAGCTCCTTCCATCACTGTGATACAACTTCCATCCTTCAACAACATCTGGCTGAGGAGAAATTAAAACAGAGAAGAGGGGAGCAATTAATTTACCAACCAACCAACCCATCCCACCCACAAACACTGGTTCTAGTTTGAGTTGCTTACTCTTTCCAATGCTGCCGTAGTGTCTCCTTTATTCCATGTGGCACACTGATCACTCCTCTCACCAAGTGGTATCCCACAATCCTCTCTGCCTCTGGGGGACAGGAGAACAAAGCCAAAACGATGTTTATGGATCACAGGATGTACTGTTAATTATGACCACCCACTTTGATGTTTCTGCTGTTCTGATTTTACTGGTCATTTCTCAGATTTGTATGTGCACACCAAAAAAGACACCCAAGAGATTCCAGATAGAGACAAAGGGGCCTACTAGTTGACCTTCTGTCCCTTGCCTTGAGATGCCCACACAACACATCAGATAACCAGATAACCACATATTCATGTTCATGCAGGAACCAATGGGATTCTCGAGGGGGTGGTGTTCATGAAGGAACCAATGTGATGCCCAGGTCCAGAACAAATTCAAGGAAACATACAGTTCTATGAGTGGAGCGGAGCCCCATAGGGGAGCTCTGCTCCTATTGGTTTACCCTGCTGCCTATGCAGCGAACAGCCTGAGACAACATTATGTACACACCTGCAGCCAATAGGAGTACAGGTGTCCCTATAAGAGGGGACGCTTCCCCTCAATCAGCCTCCCGAGATATTATCTTCAGTGAGACTAGAGAGGGTCGGCAGGGCCTTAAATCCTATGGGGCTCCACTCCACTCATAGAACTGGAGTTACACTCCGGTAACTATTATTCTATATTGTGGAGCTCCGCCCCATAGGGGAGCTCTGCTCCTATTGGTTTAAGGCGGAGCGCAACGCTCCAAAATGTACTCCCTGCCGAGCCCAACACTTCCCATCGAAATGAAAAGGTCGGGCCTAGCAATGGCTGCGACCAAGTCCCGCAGTACTGTAACACACTGTGTCACAATATACTGCGTCATCGGTTCAAATCTGCCCCACCTAGTCCAATGGCATCACCAATGTCTGGTGGGCAGATCACTAGAATACGGGCCATACTAATCTGTACTAGCAGATAGATGGTACCTCAATATCCTCTTACAACAATACCGACCACTAATGGAATGACACAAAGTGTCACTCTACATTGTGTACACGGTAGGCCCGCCCCACTCAATCAATGGAACCCCAAAGATTAGTGGGCAGATCCCAGAACATGATTCATACTAATCTGAACAAGCAGATAGATGACGTCACATTCCGTCAAAATTGTCATGACCGGTCTAACAGTACCGTAACCAAGGTTACTACTATTATCCCTCATCATTCCGCCTCAACCCAGTTATTCACTGGTGGGCAGATCAATACATGCCTTCTACTGTACTGAACATGTCAGTCAGGAGTCATGCTAAAATATGTCTTTCTATCAGAAGCGGACCTGAAAGAGACCTGTCTCATCGGTCCTGCATTCCTCTCTCTTAGCTCAAGTCCTCCCCTCAGCAACGCTGAGTACAGACTGAGCCAAAGAGTTAGAAGACATATCCAAGAGATAGAAACGGATAAATGGAGACGGTGACGACCACGACGCTGCTGCACAGATATTCTCTACCCCTGTTCCTTTGAAAAGGGCAGTAGAAGCCGCTACTCCACGAGTGGAATGGGCTCTTATACCCTGAGGCAATTGTCGCCCCGCTGCCTCATAAGCTGTCTCAATGCCTTCGCAAAGCCAATGAGATAGATGCTGTTTCGAAAGTGGTCTACCTAGTGCAGCCGCACAGTGACACACAAACAGCTGAGGCAATGACCTAATCGCTGCTGTGCGCTCAACGTAACACGCCAAAGCGCGCACTGGGCACAGGCGATGGAGCCTTTCCTCTCTCCTCTCCCCATGGGGAGGGGGAGAAAAAGCCCACAGCTCCACGGTCTGTGACCTATATGAACTCTTCATAACCTTCTGCATAAATGCCAGGTTAGGACGTAACACCACTCTGCTCAAATCGCCATTAATGGCAAGGCAGTCGGGTCTCGTCGAAAGAGCACACAAATCACTGATACGCTTAGCAGTAGTCAAAGCGAGCAACAGTGCCGTCTTCATAGACAGCATCTTGAGGGGTATTTGATACAATGGCTCGAACAGCGACTCACAGAGCACTTCGAGTACCAAAGCCAAATCCCACTAATCCCAATAAGAAATGTTTCACTAGAGGGTGGCTGAAGACAGTGTCTCTGCCAAACCCCTCGTGACAAGCTGAAATCGTCGCTGCAAACACCTTAATGTTGTCGGGCGATCGCTGCTTATCAAACAAACTGCAGGAACGAGAGTACACTCTCAACCCAACAGTTCATGGGGTCTACATTCTCTGTGACACACCACTGTGAAAACACGTTCCATTTACTGGCATACACGCTGGAAGTGGAACCAGCACGTGAACCCTGTATGGTCCTGATTACTGAATCAGATAACCCACGGCGCTCTAGCCTGTCCCTCTCAGGAGCCAAGCCTTCAGTGGTTGGCCGATTCTGGGCAATCGCCCTATCGAGCCTCCCGCCTGAGACAACGCGTCCCGTCGATGTGGAATTGGCCAAGGTGGCGCAATCAACATCTGACTCATCTCTGTGAACCATGGAGCCCCCGGGCGATCGGGGGCCACCAATATTATTGACAGCCCGCCTGATCTCACCCTGGCTAACAGTGGGAGAATGCAGGATAACAGTGGGAATGCATACAGGAGAACTCTCTGCCACGGTCGGTGCGCAAACGCGTCCCTCCCCAGTGGCGGTTCGTCCTGTTCCCTCAGAGAGAACCATAGAGGATAATGCGCGTTCACACGTGACGCGAATAAGTCCACCTCGGCTCTCCCGAACTGTTCCCAAATTTGGAGAACAATGTCCGGGTGCAGACGCCACTCGTCTTCTCGAGGACCCCCTCGAGACATGAGGTCTGCTCCCACGTTCAAGTAGCCCGGAATGTGTGCTGCTCTCAACGAGCGAAGGTGCTCGTGAGCCCACAGCCAAAATTCCTCCGCCAACCGGTGGAGTGCAGGAGACCTGACTCCTCCCTGGCAATTTATGTAGGCTACTGTGGTCCGGTTGTCTGACCAGACCAACACATCGCGACCCCAAAGGGTAGACACGAAGTGGGTCAGAACCAGTCAAACCGTTTCCAACTCCAAGAGGTTGATGTGGCGACTCGAAAGAGGCCACACACCTATCGCTTGGGTCTGACATGTCCCTCCCCATCCAGTCAGAGAGGCATCTGTAAACACTGGAATGTTGGAGGACACTTTGCCTATTGGGACTCCGTGTGTGAGAACGCGCAGGTCTCTCCAATAGTTCAGATCTGCACTGAGCGAGAGAGGAACCACCACCAACCGACGACGTTGACGCACTGGGTCTAGTCTTAGTTGGAGCGAACCATCGCGGCATCCTGCGCATGCGCAGGAGTCCCGCCGGGACCACGAAATGGACTGACGACATGAGACCCAAGAGTGACATGACTGACAGCGCCATTACCGTGTGATTCGGACGAAACCTTCTCAGGGCTAGCAACAGGGCTGCCCTTTGAGGGTCCGAAATTCAAGCCCTCATCATTACAGTATCTAGCTGTATCCCCAGGTAGACAATCTGATGACTGGGCCAGGGTGCGCTCTTTTTCCAATTCACAGCGAACCCCAGATGCGTGAGATGAATCACTGTCTGTGTTGTGTGAGTGAACGCCAACTCTGCTGACGGGGCGAGAACCAGTAGGTCGTCTAGGTAGGCTAGTAGCCTTATTCCCTGACGACGCGACGGTTCCAGTGCCGCCTCCACCCACTTGGAAAACGTGCGAGGTGCCAGGGCGTACCCGAATGGCATCCTTGTGAACTCGTAAGCCACCCCTTGAAAGGCGAATCGCAGAAACTTTCTGTGACGCGGCTGCACCGGCACATGAAAGTACGCGTCCTTTAGGTCTATGCTTGTACAAAAGTCTCCCTTCTGGACACATTCCAGTAGACGTTTTGTTGTTAGCATTCGGAAGGGCCGTTTGGGGCTACGCTCTCGTTGAGAATGCGTAAATCCAATATCGGCCTCATTCCCCCCGTCTTTTTGGGCACTAGGAAATAGGGCGAATATAGCCCTTTGTTCCTTTGCTCCCGGGGAACTACTGTGACCGCCTCCTTCGCCAAAAGTTCCGTAATCTCTGAAACCAGAGCGGCCACTTTTTCTGGCGTTTTCATCACCGTCTCCACCACCCCCCTGAACGGGGGGGGGGTCCAATGAAATTGGATGGCATAACCCTTCTCCAGCACCTGGTCTAGCCAGTGGGAGAGAGTACAGCTTCGCCGCCACTCCCAGCAATGCAGAGAAAGCGGAAGAGCGCGAAGCTGTGGTACTTTCAGTAGGAAGGACCTGTATTCCTCTACACTGAAGTGGTGGAATGGCCCAAGGCGGGCCTCCCAAGAAAGGGAGAGGAACTATCAGCGCGTTCTGAGAGAAACGGGGGCGCCGAGACGTTGGTTACACTCCAAACCGTAGTATTCCGGCCCTCCGTGAACGCAGCACGGGTCTGAACTGCACTGGCCGAGGTGCTAGCCTGGGACAGAGCGCCATCCCTGCATAGCGATTGCGTCATCATTCCATTACCTGGTTGTGACTGCATTCTGCTATGAGAGACCTTCACTACAGCACTCCTAGCAGTCTATAGTGTGAGGTCCTTATGAGGTAAACTAAGGCGGCGCCTTGTTACCTTTATCACACTCGCCTCGTGTGTGCTCAGCTACGCACCCTTGGTGGGCTGAGCTACACTCAGAGTGGTGAGAGAGGGAGAGAGAGAGTGAAGGAGTCTGAACGTTCTCGGATGTATCATGGAAAAGGGGCTCTCTTGTGACAAAGTCAATTGGAGCCAACTCTTTATTCAAAACATCAACAACAACAGTTCCCTCCATACCCTCAACAGAAGGGTGGGGGGGAATAGTGGGCACAGTCGGACCAGCCACTGCGCCGTCTCCCATTCTCGCCACGTCATTGGCGCCGTCTCTTCTGGCCACCCCTCGGGTGCTTCCAAGAAGACGCTCTGACGACCTCTCTTGTCAACGGCACAGTTGGGACCTCTGGCTCCGCAGGAGGGGCGGGGCCTGCTTCTCTGCTGCCGGAAGTCGCTGCATGGCGCCGGGCACGACGCCTCGCTGTAGACCCCTGTCTACTTGAGGCGGTGGAGCTTGACGGTCGTTTCGGCGCAGGGCCGAGTCTTCCTGCCAGTGGCAGGTGTCTGGCCAGCTGCTTCCTCTCCTCGTCAAGCCTCATAAAACGCTCCGTCGCATCCTTGACGGCGACCCCAAACAGGCCGTCGTCAGAGATGGGGGCGTTCAGTAACGCGGCTCTGTCTGTCTCTTTCATGGCTGTCATAGACACCGAAGTGGCCATGGACCTCCCTGCACACACAGCTGATGCTTGCGTTAAGTGGAGAATAGCGCCAGAAATCCTGGACGCCTCTTCCACTTCCTCCCCAGTGAGCTCAGACTTACCTGTTGTTAGGCGGGACAGAGAGGCTGCTAGGAGGGCAATATTATTTGCCGCTGCTAAGGCCTGGGCTCCTAACATGAAGGACTTCTCAACCAGCTGTGCTGTGATTCTGTCCTTCTGTGTGGGTAGAATGGCTTTCTTGGACGAGGGCCAGGGACTCGAACCCGGCACGAGATACGCAGCCAGGGCGCTCTCGAGCCTGGGGATTCCCCTTGAAAAGCCCTGCTGTCTGCCTTCCACTCTGGTGAATGGAAGGTACGCCTTAGCCGGCGAACGCACTGCTTAAGGTACCTCCCATGAGCCCTCGACATACTTACCAAGTGAGGGCATGGTCGGTGCCAGAGGCTCTGCCGCCCTCCTGGGCCTGGAATAAGGACCGCCCTCCATCATATCCACTTCCGGGTTGGAGGGAATGGGGGGAAGCTTAATCTGCAGGCGCTCGGCAGCCCTCTCGATGAGCCCTGGAAAGTCAGAGCGCAGAGAGGCTGTGGCGTTTGATGTGGCTGCTGAATTCTCAGAGCCCGCATCATCATCGCCCAGGGATGAAAAAGACCTCACCCTTTCCAATGGAAATGGGGTCTTAAAATCATGGGTCAGAGGGATGGATTGTTCCGCTGGAATATCCATCTCTTCCCCAATATCCCTGTCATCTCCTGAGTCAGCGCCCTCAGATGATGCCTCAGAAGCTGAGCTAACACTGATAGCACATCCTCAAGAGGAATATCTTCCCTAAAAAATGCCCAACGCTGCTTCCTCTCTTTCAATGAAAGGAGGGCGCAGCTGGCGCATAGTGGGGGATCTATGAGGCCGTCCCTGGCGTGCTGTGACCCTAGACACACAAAACATAAGTCATGGGGGTCAGCAGCCGCCATAGAGGAACAGCGACATTGAGCTCTGAAAATAGCTTTTGGGGGTGGAAAATCTCCTGGTGTGCTCATTTTAGGACGACGTCGAGAACTGGAAATCGACAGCAATATCTTCGTCCTGAGTCTTCGTCTCTTCTTGGCTTCATCAGTCTAGTCCAGTCGCTGAAAATAAAGGGAGGCTGATTGAGGGGAAGCGTCCCCTCTTATAGGGACACCTGTACTCCGATTGGCTGCAGGTGTGTGCATAATTTTGTCTCAGGCTGTTCGCTGCATAGGCAGCGGGGTAAACCAATAGGCGTAGAGCTCCCCTATGGGACGGAGCTCCACGATATAGAACTGGAGTTACACTCCGGTAACTATCATATTATACAGAGTTATGAGTGCATGGAACTCCCTTCCATCTCATATAGTGCACTATTGAGATGGGGCCAGCACACTCATTATCCATACTCTCATCCCGTCCTGGTGTAGGCTGTTACCTGTAAGCTGGTGATGTTATGTGGTGGAAAGTATAGGTCTCTCTTTCTGAGTGTTTGACCACTAGTACCACAAAAAAAAACCTAATTTTTCTATGTAACAAGGTTGCCTATTAACCCCTGTCCCCTGATGGCCCTACACGTTTCAAGTAGATCTGAAAATGATTGGATAGATATTATGGTAATCACTCCACCCTGCCCTCTGATTGGATAGGTGGATTTTGCCCTGGGGTAGAGGTCGATTTACAGAGCCCTACTCAGTATTAGCGAGAGAAGGTTTCAAAAGCTGCGAAAAAGAAGGGTCTGGAATTTTTCGAAAGCAACGACTGCAAACTCACCTGCATTGTTACTTTATTTATAATAATAAGCCATTTAGCAGACGCTTTTATCCAAAGCAACTTACAGTCATGCGTGCATACATTTTTGTGTATGGGTGGTCCCGGGGATCGAACCCACTACCTTGGCGTTACAAGCGCCGTGCTCTACCAGCTGAGCTACAGAGGACCACATTATTGATTTGACAGGCAGCGCACGGGTTATTGTATGTCGGATAAGTCCCGTGTAGCTCAGTTGGTAGAGCATGTCGCTTGCAACGCCAGGGTTGTGGGTTCGATTCCCACGGGGGGCCAGTATGAAAAATGTATGCACTCACTAACTGTAAGTCGCTCTGGATAAAAGCGTCTGCTAAATGATTAAAATGTAAAAATGTAAATAAGTTAGTTACAATTATTGTCAATATGTGAATTTAAAAAGATTTCTCTGCTCGCTTTTTGTTTGTATAAAAATAAGTTACAATTGTGTCTTCTTGGTTTATTCTGTGTAGTTTTCTTGTCCAGATGAGCGATTGGTTGTGCGCAAAACATGAACTGACTACCGCGATAGTTGTTGTTATATGTATCGCGAGAGTTATTGATGCGCGTGTTTGTGGAATTTGCGCGTAGCCGACGTTTCGAGGGCGGTGCTTTTCCATGACTCGGATAACGAGTATCCCAGGCGGGCTTTCTTTACAATTTTTGAAACGCAAAATTCTATTTACATAATAGGAACGATCGTATTTTAAAAAGCACTGAAATAGATTCTCAAATATTACATTCAGTAGAAAACGAGGGTCTGCGCCCCCTCAATCAATGAGGCCATCATGAAGCTGACGGACAATGTGCTGCGGAGCTTCAGGGTTGCAAAGGTTTTCCGGGAAAATTCTGACAAAATCAACTGTTTTGATTTCAGCTCAAACGGCGAAACCATCATTTCTAGCAGCGACGATGACTCCCTAGTTTTATACGACTGTCAGGAGGGAAAGTAAGACATACATTAAATTTATTTAAATCGACTGTTTGTGCCGCACTGCATGTTATTACGGTAGGCCGACCCCTGTGCTGTAGTTAGCATCTGTTCCGCTAGGTATAGTGAGGCCTGCTGCGTAATGCACAATCCTCGGGCTCGAGTTCAGACACTAGCAGAGTTTGAGAGGATGTCTGGCTTGGTAGATCGGTAACAAAACTGTCACTTGTATTTAATCTAATTTTCACTCAAGCGTGTTAGGTGTATTATTTTGTTCGTAGTCGACGTAAACCAAAACTAAAAAGCATGTATGTGTTAGTCTAGATATTTGTAGCAGTTGTAACCCCGTTTATCATGATTATGTAAGATTTAGAGGGGGTAGGTTAAATGCGGAAGACACATTTCGGTTGAATGCGTTCAATTGTGCAACTGACTAGGTATCCCCGTTCCCTTCCCTTTTTCATCCCTTTATGTTATGGGTATTTGAATATGTACATTGGCTTGGCTAGAAGTTTCTGTGCCAGCAATCTGTGGTTATTTTCTTTCTCTCCATCTTGTGCTGGTCCAGACCTAAGCGGACCCTCTACAGTAAGAAGTATGGAGTGGATCTGATCAGGTACACACATGCAGCCAACACTGTGGTCTACAGCTCCAACAAAATTGATGGTATGTTAGTGCGAAGAGGAGATTTGTAATCAGGCTCTTTAAATAAGCAGTTGTCCATGTAATTCTTGCCTTGCATCTTTTAGGAGTTACTTATTGTATTCATGCAGAAGATTGTTCTCATGGATTTCCCGACAGCCTGACCGTGTTGACCTCAGCCTGAGGCGGTCGACCATGCTCACTCTGGTCTGAGGTAGTTGTTTGTACAGTTTGAGGGTCTGTGATTCTGCCCAATACAGGAGCTAACTGTACAAGCCACTGCCTTGCCTAGGGTGGAGCCCACTCATCCAACCCGACCTGCCCAGTGTCCATCGCCTCCTGGATCGGTAGCTCTACTTGCTCTTTAGTGGTGTGGTGATGAATTGAAATGCCATGCTGTCTTGTCTTCTGCCCATAACCCCATGCCTTTATGATCATTGTAGACACTATTCGGTACCTCTCCCTCCATGACAACAAGTACATCCGGTACTTTCCTGGACACAACAAAAGGTGAGGACTGAAGCAGAGAGACCCAATGGGATAGTTTAGGCTACATTACTGTACTATTACTTAACTATTGTTTGTATCATTTAATTTTTTATAAATAAATATCAGATGTTTCTATCATCATGGTAGATGTTTCTATACCTTTAAGTTGAATGTTGTTTCAGAGTGACGTCTCTCTCCATGTCCCCTGTGGACGACACGTTTATCTCAGGATCTTTGGACAAGACAATCCGGCTATGGGATCTGCGGTCTCCGAACTGCCAGGTTGGTTCTCTTCTCTAATTCTCCTTGACATTGCAGATCAATTTACTCTAGATAGACTCTAATTGCGCTGGATAAAATGTGCCTTTCCTCTCAGTCTCTTTCTCTCCATCACACTACCAGGGCCTGATGCATCTACAGGGGAAGCCAGTTTGCTCATTTGATCCTGAGGGTCTGATCTTTGCTGCTGGCGTGAACTCGGAGATGGTCAAACTGTACGACCTGCGGTCCTTTGACAAGGTAAGTCATTTCAGGGCTATGACTATTTGGCGTTTTTAGGAAAGGATGTATGATGTGGTACAGATGGTGGTGTATTCTCTGTTTTGTAGTTCTGTGTATTTGTGTTGGTCATTTGTATTTAGAGCTTTGGATGGGGGCCAGTGGTAGGTGGTTGTCTACAGAGAGTAACTTTTTTTGTTGCCTTCTCAATAGGGTCCTTTTGCTACCTTCAAGCTACAGTACGACCGTACGTGTGAGTGGACAGGACTGAAGTTCAGCAACGATGGGAAGCTCATCCTTGTCTCAACCAATGGGGGTGCTCTCCGCCTCCTCGACGCCTTCAAGGGCGCTGTGATGCATTCCTTTGGGGTGCGAGATCATACGCATTTATAGACACTTAAAACCATGACAGACACTGTTGGATACTCTTGATATAGATTTCAGACCAACCGCAAGTTGTACGAGAAGTAAATGTTTATTAGTAAATGGATATTGTCATGCAGTACAAGAGAGATGATAGACCTATATTTATAGACGCTCTCCTCTGTCCTGCAGGGCTACAACAACAGCAAAGCTGTGACGCTGGAGGCCTCCTTCACTCCTGATTCTCAGTTCATTATGATCGGTAAGTCCACACAGACTGGGTAGGTGAGGTAACAGGCTCTACGTTTTGTAAAGGAAGACTGTACAGTTCCAATTGTCTTCCCTTTCTACCACATAATTGTTTGGTAGTAATTACTTGAATATGCAAATTAAACCTAACCTAGAAACATTTCCCAAAAAACAGTCTAGTTCAGCTCCCTCTCGTTTTTCCATGGTCTGACGGGTGGTTGTCTCTCAGGCTCTGAGGATGGGAAGGTCCATGTGTGGAATGCAGAGAGTGGGATGAAGGTGGCAGGTTCTGGATGGGAAGCACACGGGCCCTGTCACCTGCCTTCAGTTCAACCCCAAATTCATGACTTTTGCAAGTGCTTGTTCAAACATGGTAAGATTACTTGGGTTGAACACACACATGCACACCAATCTCACATACAGTACACGAATGCTCAGTAAGTCTGTTTTGTCCTCTACAGGCATTCTGGCTGCCCACCATTGACGATTGATTGAGAGAGAAAAGCTCTGAGTGGGTAACTGATGGATGGCACAGGCGAAGTGAGATCCCATTTAAAACCAGCAGGTGTCGGCACACCCAGTTCTAGGAGGATTTTCTATGATGTGTGTGACAAATCATGTTGATTGTAAATATGTAGGACTTCAGGTATATAAATGGTCTGATTTTCTGTTCTTTTTATACTTGTAACATTAAATATGTTTTCTTTTTCTAACAAGTGTCTGACTTCTGTGAGTGAATGAATGGTGAAATGTGTGTCCATTCATGTTCCTAAACAGAGGTTCTACCTTAATCTCATGTGGAAAGACTATGCATGTAAACTGAGAGAATCTGTCGGGACTGAATGGGATGCGTAGGATATGAGCAGCAGTAGTTTTGTATAAATGTTTTATGTTTGGGTTTTTCGTCACTGGTTATTTGGACAAATCATGTTTTCGCAGGCGTTATAATCTTTCGAATTTCAGAAGGAGATGGGACATTCGGCCCGTTACTTGCAAAGAGAGGGGGTGGAGCACCTCCTTCCAGTTCCGCTCCTCGTTATAGCATTTCATTAATCCCTTCTTTTAACGTGTATGGACCCAGAACTTAATCAATCAGCTGACCAATTACGTGAGACTTTAGATCTGGGTTAACCAAGATTACTTCTACACTGTCAGTGAACAACACATCATTAGCACAGCTGGTGATATAATGTACTAGCACAGTACATTTCTAATGGGAAGTGAAAGGGGATACCTAGTCAATTGCACTAAATGTGCAGGGGGGCTGCCTTAATTGAAGTCCATGACATCGGCGCATGGGGAACAGTTATTGGGGGTTAACTGCCTTGCTCAAGGGCAGAATGGCAGATTTTTCTACCTTTCCGGCATGGGGATTTGAACCAGCAACCTTTCGGTTATTGGCCCAATGCTCTTAACCACTTGGCTACCTGCAGTGAAGTGTATATGTCTGTAGTCTCAACTGACGGGTTAATATCTGCAGGAGGGTGTGCCCAGCTGGTGAAGGATTATCTGTGCTTTACCTCTGGCACACACATTTCTATCTGCCCTTTGGGGTAAACAATCTAAGGGTCACACAACCACTCAAAGGGCGATGCACATTACTGAAGTTATGGAAGGAGTATGACAAAGCAAGCAGGGACATGGGAATGATTAACCTACGAAGTCATACAAGTCTACTGAAAGCCCCTGAAGGCCACTAGGCCAGAGATGAGATACAAGAAGTATGCATGTGCCCACAGAGAAATTCAACCTTTCTAGTGGTGATAAAACCACAAGATTTACATTAGACAGACTGCATTATCACTGTCTTCATGGAAAGGAGCATGTCTACCTTTGAACAATGTCAATTGGCGATGTTCTGAAAGCTGCGGTTTGATGTCACAGATGTGGAAATTGGCAATAGCGGTTTGCTGCAACAAACTAGAAAGAGTTCTTGTAAAGTGGGAAATTAAAATGTACAATTAACACAAAAAGGTGGTTGGGATGCTTAATTGTATAATTGCATCTACGAGTAATGGTATTATGAGTCATTTAAGGGAATTGGAACGTAGTGTTCTTGAAATGGATTCTAACCGTGGGCCAGTTTTTGAGAACATTGAATTAAAATGAAAATGTTCTAGTATTGTTTTTATTACTGTGCCCCCAGTTAGATTTTCGCAACCACTTGTGGTGAGAACACAATAGTGCACTGCAACCAAGTTCTTTACACAAAAAGATGATAATGTATATTCCTCATTATTGAAATAACTAATTACTTCAATTCAGATTTTAAAAAATTGGCCATGAAATACATTATCTCAATGTTCCTAATAAAAATATACTGTTACCAAAATGTTTCATACAGTGGGTTCTATTACAACAATGTTCTTATATAGTTTGGTTTGGTTTTGACTTCTGTTTGATAAGTCAACACAAAAGAAATGGTCATTCAAAAACAAAATCCTTCCTGGCCTATTCAAGAGACGTGCGTGCGTGAATTTGCTAGAGTAGAAGAGGATGTACACAATGTACGTAATATTAGGAAAACCTGCTCTTTCCATGACATAGACTGACCAGGTGATCCCTTATTGATGTCACTTGTTAAATCCACGCCAATCGGTGTAGATGAAGGGGAGGAGATAGGTTAAAGAAGTATTTTTATGCCTTGAGACAATTGAGACATGGATTTTGTATGTGTGCCATTCAGAGGGTGAATGGGCAAGAAAATATTTATTATTTAAGTGCCTTTGTACGAGTTATGGTAGTAGGTGCCAGGCGCACCGGTTTGAGTGTCAAGAACTGCAACGCTGCTGGGTTTTTTCATGCTTAACAGTTTCCCAAGTGTATCAAGAATGGTCCACCACCCAAAGGACATCTAGCCAACTTGACACAACTGTGGGAAGCATTGGAGCCAACATGGGCCAGCATCCCTGTGGAACGCTTTCGACACCTTGTAGAGTCCATGCCCCAATGAATTGAGGCTGTTCTAAGGGCAAAAGGGGGTGCAACTCAATATTAGGAAGGTGTTCCTAATGTTTTTTTGTACACTCAGTGTATAGTTCAATCCAAACTGTCTCATGACAAAACCTGACTGTTGATTGCACCTCATGAGTCTGACAGCACCTGTATCAGAAACTCACTTAACAGTTTCACTTTCACAGTTAAATGTAACATAATATGATTAAACGCAAGGGGTCTCCTTATTTTCCGATCATCCATCCAGTGTAGCTTTTCAGTATAACACACACTTTGATGTCTTCTATAAAAGGTATTAAAAAAAACAGTAACCAGTTACATGCATAAAACCACTGTGGGGAGTTCATACAGGTGTCTCAGGAGAGACTAACACTCAAATGGCCGGAATACACCGTGACGTTCATAGGTCCATCCATGAGCTGAGGTGTCAAATAGTGCAAGTCTTAAAATTCATTAGACAACATGATTTGTTTTCTCAAAATAATTCCCACATGAACAGTGCAGCTGTGTGCCAGAATATATGTGTGAAACAGACCATGGCCTGTGAGGTTCTAAGGACATTTCATGATAATAATAATATGCCATTTAGCAGACGCTTTTATCCAAAGCGACTTACAGTCATCTGTGCATACATTTTTATGTATGGGTGGTCGCGGGGATCGAACCCACTACCCTGGCGTTACAAGCGCCGTGCTCTACCAGCTGAGCTACAGAGGACCACGATGTACATCTGGTATGTTTACATCTTGTTTGGGACATCTTGTTTGGGCCTACTGATGCGCTGTCTGGGCCATTTGTCATATTGTAGTCATCTGAGACTATCTGACTGATATGGATGTGGTGTCTGGCTCTTTTTGGGTTGTCTCTGGGTAGTTTGAGGGCTGTGTCTAGACTCTGATGTCTGGGCCTGTCTACAGGAGGCCTATTGGCCTCCAGTTCAATCCAAATGGCACAAACAAAATGTCCAGAAGAAAGACAGTCATAAAGTTTCCAATTGATGAACAGGACTTCACTCAACACATTATCATTTTGATCTGGATTAAACATGACAAAAAACTGGCCCCTGGACATACAGTAGCAAATAAACTGGGATGGAATGCCGTTAATACTCATTTTGCAAGAAGCATGGGATTCTTTTATGATCTGAATTCCTTTCGGTATTAGACAACCACGCACCAGGGAATGGCCTGCCACGGCTGTCACAGGGTTCATATTCATTGATTTTTCCAAGGCCTTTGGTCTAGTTGGTATCTCATTCTCTTAGAGAAACTGAACATACTTGGGTTTGCCCAAAGGCTTTGGAAATGGTTTTCTAGGTAATAATAGAAATCAGTGTTACAAAAGGAGGGCATTAAGTTCAATAACCTGGAAATATAATTAACGGGTGTGCCGTTAGATTCAATACTTGGACCATTGTTATTCTTCATTGTTGTTAACTGTGCATTAACACAAATGTTCCCTTGTGACAGTGTGCCATAAACGTGCCATACACGTCGCCTAAAGACATATCTCTGTCAGTCTTTGTCATGGGAATCCTCAGTCCTCCAACCACTTCTCTCCACCACTGAACAGTGCACCAAATCACATTTAAACATAGTTGAAAACCGTTCAACAGAAATGTCACTGGGTCAGGGGCTCAGGTAAGTGTAATTATAGGTTTTCGGGTCACTTGTTCGTCTCTCAAGCAGACCCTGGTGGGATGGGGGTGGGGAGGCAGATACCCAAGGCTGGACAGTCAGTGGCAGCTAAATTTGGGAGAGAGGGGATCAGGTTCCCTCTCTGAACGCACATGATCCTGCCCTAGTTACTCAAGCTGTGTCCCCCTCTCATACTGTCCCACTCACTCAAAGAGCTCATACACTCACGCAGTGATTTCAGACACTTAGACCAGTGCTTCGTCACACAGGCTTTATCAGTGCTTTTATTGCAAAAAGGTTATCCCATTGTGTCTCTCTTTGGCTGGGCTGAATCTCCACCGTCTGCTCTGGGACTTGGCTTGGCTCTACCGTCTCTGTCTCTCAACCCCTCCCCCCTACAGCACCCGGAGGGTGGGACAGACTTCTTGCTGACCCGCCATGTTTCTGGTTCTCGTTGTGACGCCGGAACTAAGGGAGTTCTTGGCCAGAGCAAGGGGTGGAGCTGTCCGCCTCATCCAGGTGCGGATCCAGGACGGTGAGTGACCCAGGGGACAGCGGTTGGGTCAGGAAGCAGGGGAAGGAGGGATCTTGGTAGGACAGGAGGGATCTTGGTAAGGCAGAGTATACATAAGATTTATATTAATTTGATAACTTCAATTATTTCACCTTAATTTCCTGTATTATGTGAGTAAATTGATCTAACTGTGTGTTTGTATTAGGATGTGTGTATTTGTGAAAATGTGTGTGAGAGTTATCAAAAAATCTAATTCAATTGTATTTGTCACATGCGCCGAAAACAACAGGTGTAGACTTTACCGTGAAAGGCTTACTTACAGGCCCTTCCCAATGATGCAGAGTTAAAAATAATAAAAATTAAAAATAGTAACACAATAAAATACACAAGAATTAAGCTATATACAGGGAGTACCATATCACTGTGCAGGGGTACGAGGTATTTGAGGTAGATATGTACATGAAGGCAGGGGTAAAGTGACTAGGGATCAGGATAGCTAATAATACGAGTAAAATAAAGAACAGCAGCAGCATGTGTGTGTGTGTGCGCAAGTAGTGTGTGTGTGCATAGATTAGGTCAATGGTAGGGTCAATGCAGAAAAACGGGTAACCATTTGATTAACAATATAGCTGTCTTATGGCTTTGGGGTAGAAGCTGTCTCGGAGCCTATTGGTCCGAGAGATGATGCTCTGGTACCTTTTGCTGGACGGTTGCAGAATGAACAGTCTATGGCTTGGGTGGCTGAAGTCTTTGGCAATTTTTTAGGCCTTCCTCTGACACCACCTGGTATGTTTGTTGTTCTGCTGTTCAGTCACTTGATTGTGTGTATGATGCTGATGGAGATGTCATTGAGTTTAACAAAAACAAACATTTCACAATGTGTTGGGTAACTGAGGCCACGTGTTTGGTCAGATGATGCATTCAGTCTGATGAAAGGGATCGCAAGAGAGACTGACAGCTTTCAACTTTGTAATGGTGGGCAAGTTGTCAAAGATTATATAATCCAGTTGAGATATGAAGTGACATTGAACTCTCATTCAGAAGGGTTAGTGAAAGTATGGAAAATATCATCGGAGCCCTCACTGGACTCATTGTCCAGTGTCATGGGTAATGATACCCATGACAAAACCTGACTGTTGATTGCACCTCAGCACCTGAGGTGCAATCAATAAGTCTAACATTCATGAGACATCATGATTTGTTTTCCAATAAGAATTACCACATAGGTAGTGCAGCTGTTCATCAGCTGTGTGAAAGGCATTCATTCTATGTGCCAGACTGTGCATGTGTGAAACAGACCATGAGGCAACAGGTTGGCCTGTGAGGTTATAAGGACATTTCATGATCTGGGATGTTTACATCTTGTTTGGGACATCTTGTCTGGGCCTACTGACGCTCTGTCTGGGCCATTTGTCATATTATAGTCATCTGAGACTTTCTGACTGATATGGATATGGTGTCTGGCTCTTTTTGGGTTGTCTCTGGGTAGTTTAAGGGCTGTGTCTAGACTCGTGATGTCTGGGCCTATCTCCAGGGGGCCTATGGACCAACAGTTGGGCAAGTATGCAAGAGGGGCACAGTGACACTGTCTTAAAAGTTTTTCTGGACTGGTTTTTATATCCTGTTTGAGGTCTACTGTCTGTCTGCTGCTTTATGGGGCTGTAACTGGGCTATTGGGATTTGTGGGTCTGTTACTGGGCTATTGGTATTGTTGGGTCTGTCACTGGGGTAATCGGCTGATAGGCATCCATGGGCTTGTACCATGTTGTATCCCAGTGTTCACTCATGTTTTCATGCCGATGTTGAAAGAGAAAGAGGCTATCTTACAAGTTGTCATCTACCTGTGCGCTGGCTAAGTGTGTCATTTGTGTTTCTGTTATCTCATTGGTTGGTTTCATAGGTTACATATTCTCTCAGTAGTCTGGTATCCTTAGCAGTGTTGTGTTCGAGACCACCTAAAGCGAGACCGATTCAAGACCAAGACCGGAGCAAATCGAGACCGAGTCAAGACCAAGACCACCATAATAAGAGTAAAAAATGTCCAGTATATCTGTGTTCATATTTCAGAACAACATATGGATTCTTTAGACATTCAGAATAGTGAAACAATGCATGCTGAGGGAGAATAGATCCACAAAATGTTACTAACCCAAACACAGTGGGGAACAATGGGCCTTCTGCACCTTCAGAGAAGGGCTAAGGTTTTACTTTATTTTAAATTATAATAATATAATGATATTATTTTCAATGATGTTCTGATTTAATCTCTTCAGTTTGTGTTGGAAAGGAAAGGGTTAACACTGAAGAGAAAAAAAGATCCAATCAGGATTAGTGAAAAAATGCATGCTGAGGGAGAATAGAGCCACAAAATGTTACTAACCCAAACACAGTGGGGAACAATTGGCCTTCTGCACCTTCAGAGAAGGGCTAAGGTTGAAAATATATATATATTATAATAATATAATTATATTATTATTTTCAATGATGTTCTAATTTAATCGCTTCAGTTTGTGTTGGAAAGGAAAGGGTTAACACGGAAGAGAAAAAAATATCAAATCAGGATTTGTCTTTGCTGGTCTCTGGGGAGATAAATCTAGCTAGCTAAGTCAGCCATTGGCTAGGCCATCAGAAGCTAATAAAGGCATCTGCCATTCAACTGTATTAGGGCAACATTTTGGAGTGACAGTGGAATCAACCAATCGCATGTTGACTTAATGGGTGGGACCGTTTTTACCAAAACGAATGGACATGTCTGCCTTCTTGAAGGCCGACAAGGTCACCGCACAATAGCGAGCAGTAGTTTTCCCACGTCTAGCTAGCTAGCATTTGTCGTCGGCTAGTTTTCAGCAGCTGCAGCAGGTGTTATCAAAGAGGATGTTGTTTTTGCTAATTTGTTAGCTTCTCCCTTTTCAAGAATAACTTTCAACAAGAAATTAAGTTTCAAATGATCATCATCTGGTGAGTGGAACAGTTTTTTTTTTTTTTGCAGCGCACTTGCTGTTGTTAGCCATCTCTTTGAAAATAACTTATGTCTGTGAAACATTGTTGCATTTAAAGTGGAACTAGCATTATTTTAGCAACATGAAATCTTATAAAAATCTGTTCATATACACCCCCAGGAAGAATATGACACTTAATTCTTTATTTTTTCATTCTTTTATTTTTTTTTTTTAAAGATATGGTCATTTTCACGTTTTCATGCATTCTTAGAATGTTTGGGAATTATGTATACTAAGGTATTTGTGAAAATTCTATAGCAATATAGAGTGGGAAAGCAGCCATGTGGTTGGACAATTAATGGACACTGCAGTCCAGGACTGGAGTCTACACAGACCTGTGCACTATAGCCAATCAGAGCTAAAGTAGGCTTTTGCCACATGGGCCTGCCATCCTTTACTTTGAACTGGACTGTGTGTTTACAGGCAGTTGCAACAGCATGACATTAGATCATTAGAACGCATTTGCCAAAAGCCACAAAATACACCTGAATGGATTTCTGCAAATATATAGACACCACGGGAGTCCTCTTACATTTGGGAACTTTACAGTCCTATTTATCAAACAACCATGAAAAGGTAGGCCCTCTCTCCCTCAGTTATGCACATCAACAACAACAAGAACAAGATCATCAGCAAGATGAGCTCAAATCTAACGAAGGAACATTGATTAACCCTCTCAAACTTTTTCAGCTAGTTGGCTGTCAAAATTGCACTGATAAACGATGGGGAACTAGCCTCCTAGTCTTTCTGCAGCTTGCCTGCCAATGCATGCTTGTCCCAACCAAGCACCCAAGCTAACTGGCTAAAGTTGGCTAGCTTGCTAGCTAACTACTTCCAGACACAAATGAGAGAACACCTCACTCTGACCATTTTACTGACCGTAGCAGAGCTGGTTAGGCTGTTTACATGTTATCTGGAGCGTTCTTGACTAAATATAACTTTTTTTGCCTATGTTTACTGACACTGGTCATATTCAGTGGGTGTTGCGCATTCGTAAATTAATCAGTATTTCTGCGCTCTGGCACACTCAAACAAGAGTGCTCTGAAATCGGAGTAGATAGCCAGAGTGAATTTGTGAACGCAAGAGATATGCTAACTGGATAACAGTCGCTCAAGTTCTTGCTAGCTATCTAAATGACACCTGCATCTCTAGCTGTGTATAGCCATTGAAAAACTATCTAGCTAACGTTAGGCTCTGTGTTTTTAGCTTGCTACATAAATAGATACGCTAGCCTATTAGCTAGTTATGACTGACTTGTGATCATTGGCCTTGCCAGTTTGATTGTATTGACATTCCCAGCCTTAGTTACATTCGTCTGTTTTTGTCCAGAATATTGAGTCATTGAAACTGAAACATTGCATCACGAATGGAGGCAGCAAACAATGTACCAGGCCATCTGTGATTTCCAACCAGATAGCAATGTTTTTGGGACTACCAAGAAATGTATTGGTGAATTATTAATCATGCATTGAACTGCATCCATCTATTCTGCCAACAATGCCTTAGTGTATGTCATGGAACGTTGAGTCAAATAGAACCTATTTTTAAAACCTTTTATTAAGTTGGTTTTGTAGCATAAACTGGGAATTCGATATGTTTTACTGTCTGTTTGTTTCATATCTGCAAAGTTGTCAGTTCCACTTTAGTTCCCATGAGGACAAAGGCTATTTTAAGTTTAGGGGTTAGTTAAGGGTTAGGGTTACAATTAGGGTTACAATTAGGTTTAGGAAAAGGGTAAGGGGTTAGTGGCTAGGGTTAGGGTTAGGGTTAGGTTTAGGGTTTTTGTTATGGGTAAGGGTTAGGGGTTAGGGAAAATAGGATTTTGAATGGAGATACATTTTAGGTCCCCACGAGGATAGAAGAACAAAACGTGCATGTGTGTGTGTGTGTGTGTGTGTGTGTGTTTGTGTGTGACTGGCTGATGGAAAGTATGTGTCTGTGCTGATAGTTGGAATGTGTTGGAGCTCAGAATAGCAACTGCAGTGATAGATGGTGAAGAAATCCCCCTGCTCCCCCCAAGGACATCGGACTTTTGGTCTATGTGTGCATGCAGGTTTAAGAATGGGCATGTGTGCACTTGCCTTCATGTTTTGATCATCTGTTTGTGGTTGGATGTTGTTACGTAATTCTTTGCGGGTGTGTGTGCATCTTGTCTGTGACCTCATTTGATAGTCCTGGCAATTAGTGATTGATTTCTAGTAAATACCACTAATGCATCACATTGTAAACACAGCAGCTCCTCTATCGTTGTGCATGCAAAACTAAGTGACCCTGGATCATTTCATGACTCTTTTCAGATGTTATAAACATTATTGAGAGAGGATTAGCTAAGAGTGCCATCAATGACAGGACTGCCAGGCTACTGTCAATCAGTAACAGTTTCAACCCAATGACTTGTCTCCATACACCAGTGAGATTAATACAGTAGGTCCCGAGACCTGATGAATAGTTAATTGGGGAGTTGAGGCTAATTTAAGCAAAGTGTTGACACAAAGCACGAGAGGGGGTGAAAGATGAGGCTCAGAAGAGTGCATGAAATGAAAGAGATGAAGGATGATGTCACAGCAAAAATAAGAACATTGGTTGGACTACAGTGGCTTGTGTTTGTGCGTGCTTGCGTGCATATGTACGTGTGTGTAGCTGAATAATAAAGTTTGAAGCATGGGTCAAGGTGTGTGATGAGTTGTGCTCTTGTTTTTCAGAGCAGCTGGTGCTGGGGGCATTCAGAGAGCCGACACAGAGCTGGGACCAGGACTATGACCACTTCCTACTTCCTCTGCTGGACGACCAGGAGCCTTGCTACATCCTGTACCGCCTCGACTCCCAGAATGCACAGGGATACGAGTGGATCTTCATCTCCTGGTCTCCTGACCAATCTCCAGTATGTGCAAGTTGTAACTGTGCAACACATACTCTCATGTTCACAGCAAACACATTTCACTGATCCATGTCTCATTCACCCATTGATGTCCACTACAGGTGAGACAGAAGATGCTGTACGCTGCCACCCGTGCTACAGTGAAGAAAGAGTTTGGTGGTGGTCATGTGAAGGACGAGATGTTTGGCACAGTGGAGGTACATAGAAGCCATTCAAAACCCCTTTGACGTACTCTGGTTATTCTCTCTCACCTGACTAATGATGAGTCTAGACCTGTTGGCTCTCCGCCTTCCCTAAATGGCTGACCTCTTGCTTGCTCTCACTAGGAGGACATCTGTCTCGAGGGCTACCAGCGTCACGTGTCCTCCAGCTCCGGCCCTGCCCCACTCACAGCTGCTGAACAGGAGCTGCGGAGAATCAAAATCAACGAGGTGAGGGGACAAGCATCGCCTACAGTGATGTCGTCAACTCCACAGCTTATTGCAGTCACTGTGTATGTGTACAGTATTCACCCAATGTCTCAGTTTCAGTTTCTAACGATTTGTTGTCGTCACTTTTCTAGGGAAGGGTTAAGCAGGTGAGTTATTATGAAATGCATGCTTGTGCCTGTGTGACCATGTGTGTTTTCACAAACTGAGAACAGAATGGTGAATTCCCCCATTAATTAAGATAAAGAGGCTCACACTTTCCCCTTAAATAATGGCCATGCTTTTTACAGTCACCCCGCATGATTGACAACTAGGATACAGAAAACTGGTTTGACAATAGCTAATCCAAGTATACTAAATACCACCACCTCAAAAAATCTAATGTGTCAACTTTAACAATTTTTAAAATGATTGTAAACCAAATTCAAGGTTAACATTATTTGAGGGGAATTAATAACTCTAGCCTCCTCTTTGAAGGGCAGTCACTGGCACTGTCTCTCTCTCTCTCGCTCTCTCTTGCAGAGAGAACTTACTCACATCCTTTGATATCTCCCCTCTGCCATAAATACAAACTGACTCTTCACATACATGCATGTTGGCTAATGAGTACGGCCTTAGCCAGATGAAACGCTGCCAGAGCAATCAGAGAGAGAGAGACCTGTACAGTACTTTCACTTTCTCACTGAAGTTACAGAAAGTTCAGGTCATTTTCAGAAGTATTTTTTGCACATCCGGAAGAGAGATAAAAGGCCCTAGTCTAGATTCAGAAATTCGTTATCAACAATTCAACGGAGACGCACAGTAAAAGCATTTAGATTGGGGATTCACAGTATTAAGGCATAATGGGCAGAAAGAGAGTTGTTTGTGATAATGAGAACAAAACTCACTAACACATGTTTCCTTGGCTGGGTGTATGCTGCCCCCTGCAGGTGAAAACAGAGACCAGTGTGGAGAGTAAGCACCAAACGCTGCAGGGCATTGCTTTCCCACTGCAGGAGGAAGCCAAACAGGCTCTACAACAACTTGCACAGAAACACATCAACTACATACAGCTGGTGAGCCATATAGAAATGCCATTAGCCAACCAAATAAAATGATTGATATCTCTAGCGGCCACATTCTCAGAGATAATAGCCATGACTGACCAAAGTATTCTGACCCAAAGCACACTGACTCAGCCATACACAGTCATCTCAGTAGTAACTGTGTAATATTTGTGTGTTGCAGAAGTTGGACACAGAGAGAGAGACGATAGAGCTGGTCCATTCCGACCCGACAGAGACCTGTGAGCTGCCTTGCAGGGTTCCCACGGATACGCCCAGATATCACTTCTTCCTCTATAAACACTCTCATGAAGGGGACTACTTGGAATCTGTTGGTCAGTTTCAGTTATTGATTTTCTGCCCTGATCATTCCTGTCTCGCTCTAGAAGCCTAGGAAATGAGAGTTGATCATACAACCAACCTTCCTCCATGTACTGGATACAGGATGAGAGAACAAAGGCATTTCATTCCATTTATAACATCTGAAGGTGTAACCATTCAACCCAAAATGGCTTTTATGAAGGAACTTTGATCTTCAGAGAGTTGGTTTAATGTTGGACCAAAACAAACTAGTGTGTGCAGAGCGGCACCAGAATTAAAATAAAAACACGTTACCTTTTTGTAGTTAATAAATCCAATGTGAAACGTGATAACTATTGTATGCTTAAAACCCTAGAGTCGATTGTCACACCGGTGCGTCAATCTCAGTAACATAAAAAGAAAATCCCCATCAAAATCTGTCCGTTTAAGCTAGAGATATCTGTTTTTTTTTGTCGCACTTCCGCATCTACGGTGAAAGGTGGCAGAGCTAGAGGGGTGTTTGTCAGATCATTAATCATCCCAAAAATCAGTCTTCTCACAAACATCTGTAGCATCCGAACGGTTAGACCTACAAACTATGACCACTCTGTGGAAAGGGGAGACTCTCATGAACACGATGGTGGTCACCGTTTTGCTCTACAACCCCCTCAAGTGTCACGGGACTCGTCTGAAGGTAACCGGTACTGGTTTAAAAAAATGAATGGAAGTATGAAGGTAGCTACCAAAAAAAAGGGTTAAATATGTGTAAAAAAAAAAAAAAGCTTTCTTATATCTCCTAGATATAGGGCAAACACTTCAAAACCTTGTTTCTTATTATTTATTTTTGGACTGTCTTTTTTGCCATTTATGAATGTGTTATTCAATGTGTTTTTCTGGGCTATAGTAGTAAAGGCCAAATTCAATATTTTATCCAAAAAAACATTTATGTACTTTGTTTTATACCTAAAGGGGTCCTAAAATTCTAAATCAAATAGCTAAATGATCCATAGTATGACCATCTCAAAATGTTTGTCCCTGAACATAAAATAATGTTATTAACCAGCTCCCATGCTTTTTAAAATAAAGGTTATGTTCCAGAACAGTATAGATCACTTTCTATACTTTTGTAATTTCCGGTTTTCTGTTCTGTTCCCTGAACTGCTTTGAATCCCATGTTTGAAACAGTGGCCAACAAAACCAAAGCATGGGTTGCTGACATACCTTGTCCATAGACTGCTTACAGGGTAAGGAAACCAACATGTAATTTTGTAATTTGGGTGAACTATCCCTTTAACATTAACAACTTCACCTAATAGCACGAACAGCACCATCTAGTGGTCAGAACCTGGTAATATCAGGATGTAGAATGGGACATAAACCTAACAACTTCAATGACAAATTTTTCTGAACAGGGGAAAAAAACATCACCAAATTCACTGAGAATACATTACATAGGATGAAGGAGCAATACTCAGAGCCGCAGCTCCATACTACTTGTCAGACATAGAGAACTGATACTATATACTAGTTGTTGGGGTGGGATTGGCGTGGGATGTGGGGGATCTGTGTGTGGCTTTTGACAATTTCTTTGGAATCCTCATGTCTTACTCATTGTTAGAAAAAAGGTTGGTCCAAATCAGATGTTAGGTACTATATTTGAATATTATATGAATCCTATAAATTTAAATGGCCAATTTAGGTGCAATCAATTAGATTAATTTCTCAGAGGTCAAATTATATTTCAACAAAATAATGTTGCAGGAATGCTAGTCTTATCTGTTTCCAACAACAGAAACAATTTCAGAACAATCTGAGATGGTGGGTGTCAAAATCCTCTTTCTTGTGCTTTTTGAAGTGGAACGACCCATCTTTTCTTTGCCTTCTTTCTCTTCCTCTCAGTGTTCATCTACTCCATGCCCGGGTACAGCTGTAGCATTAAGGAGCGGATGCTGTACTCCAGTTGTAAGAGTCGACTGCTGGATGAGGTGGAGAAAGATTACCATCTGGAGGTTTCCAAGAAGGTAATCAGCTGAAATGCACACATTCTAAACACAATATGGTCTTTGTGTTTTTACAATAATGGTCTGTGTCTGAGTGGAAGTGTGCATTTACTCAGTGTTATTGTGTCTGTTTACAGATGGAGATTGACAGTGGGGATGAGTTGACAGAGGAGTTCCTGTATGATGAGGTCCATCCTAAGCAGCATGCCTTCAAGCAGGCCTTCGCCAAGCCTCGTGGCCCAGCAGGGAAGAGAGGCAACAAGCGTCTCATCAAGGGCCCAGCGACTAGGGAGAGCAGGCCGGAAAACTAGAGAGAGGGACAGAGCTTGGTCGTCTCCCCTTCCCTGAATCCTCCTCCTGTTGCCACGGCAGCTTGTTTGGCCACGAGGAAGGAAAAGGAGAAGAATTTCTGTCATTTTGATTTTCACCTCCCTTTGCTTGTGTTTTAACAATGTGTCATTCATGTACGTGCTATTCATGAACATCAACTATAGCAGTGGTTCCCAAACTGTGGGGGCGCGAAGGGTCGGCAGGGGGAACTCAGTCCGGCTTTCAGCTTACTCCAAACTTACTCTGCAATTTCCAAATTGGTTAGTGCATCAGCAGTTTTCCTCTTGTCAATCATTGCAGACCTTTGAGAGATATTTACTGTATACCTTGTTAGAAATGTCCAGATCAACTAGCCCATGTCAGCAAACGTTTTTTAGCTAGGTTTTTAACCCATTGATTTGAGTCACTCAAATATCACATGAACACACATAAGACATGGCAAAATGTGTAGAATTGCAGGAAATTAGCTTTAAAATGGCAACATTTTCTCTGCACCCCATAACAAAATGTATAGAATTGCGGGGAATAAGCTTTAAACCTGCAAAATTTCATGAACAGTGCTTGTGCCCATAGAAATAGACGTGGCTTGCTCACACGTGCGTGGGGGATGTTCCCCAATACTGAGTAAAAAAGTTTGGAAACCCCTGAACTATAGGATAAAACGATGGAATTAACTTTATTTTTCTCATTATCTTTCTGTGTCACTCTTAAACACAACATCCTACACATACATGGATAGACATATGGACTGACAGGAATTAAAGACCAATGGGTGGTCTTACAGATACCTCAGCCAAGTTTCTCTATTGCTAATATCACATACAGGAGAAGACCACCCATTGGTCTTCTCCTGTATGTGTTTGTCCATACCTTGCCTGTTGCCACTAAATGTTTTGTATCAAACATGTTTTTATAAACAGATGATACTAATGAGAGGAATTCCAAATAAAATATAGTTTTTTTCTGTATTTTGTGTCATAAAAAACACTGCGCAAATTGCATGGGCCCGATGCATTACAAGAGATAGCCTCTTGTGGCATCTACGGACATGCAGAGGGGACAGGGAGGACACGTCTCTAGCAGTGTTCCGACTAGACTACTACAGGCTGCAGCACTGTCCGTTATGTTGAGGCAGCCAATGGCCCTTTAACATAAGCACAGATTATCGACATGCGCAGGCAGTCATGCACAATTACCACAGAGCAGATTCCCTGTTATTATGAATTCCTTAATTGAATTAGCAAGTACCCTATTAGTAGGCTATACATGCCTTTGAGAGCATGCTAATTAAAATACCTGCTGATAGCCGCTGTTTACACATTTACACTAGGTAAAGTTAAGTAAAGGCACCCCAAACATCCATATATCACATGATGACATATTGACCTATTACACATGACACTTACATCAGTGTTGGTTATTAACGTTACATCCTTGCTCTTCGCTGGTCCTGGGGGGACACAGTTCCAGCTCAGTACTAACACACCTGATTCAATTACTATTAGCCTTAAGTAAGACCAGGCTGGAAGAAGAACTCAATGACCGTTTCAACAGTTTGTTTCAAAGCTTACTCTACGGAACAAATAACAAACCTAACATCACATTTGTTTTTTGGTTTTTGTTCTTGTATTTCCAGCAGATTATCTATATCAGAGATGGGCAACTTTTTGGAACTCAGTAGAGGTCTCAACTTACTGTTGAGAGTTAGAATAGTAGAATACACAAGGGGCAATTTCGAAGTTTGGTTTTGCATCAGGGCCGGCTGTGGGTATGCAGAACCGCAAGCCCTCATGATGAGTTAATATTTATTGTGGCCCCCACCTCCATCAATGTTGCCCATCCCTGATCTACACTGAACAAAAATATAAACGCAACATGTAAAGTGTTGGTCCCATGTTTCATGAGCTGAAATAAAAGATTGCAGAAATGTTCCTTACGCACAAAATGCTTATTTCTCTAAAATGTTGGCCACAAATTTGTTTACATCCGTGTTAGCGAGAATTTCTCCTTTGCCAAGATAATCCAGCCACCTGATAGGTGTGGTCATTACATTGGGCTCCCGAGTGGCACAGCGGTCTAAGGCACTGCATCTCAGTGCTTGAGGCGTCACTACAGACCCCCTGGTTCAATTCCAGGCTGTAACACAACCGGCCGTGATTGGGAGTCCCATAGGGCGGCGCCCGGGATTGGCCGGTGTAGGCCGTCATTGTAAATAAGAATTTGTTCTTAACTGACTTGCCTAGTTAAATAAAGGTTAAATAATACAAATAAAAACACAGGTGCACCTTGTGCTGGGGACAATAAAAGGCCACTCTAAAATGTGCTGTTTTGTCACACAACACAATGCCACAGAATGTCTTAAGTTTTGAGGGAGCGTGCAATTGGCATGCTGACTGCACGAATGTCCACCAGAGCTGTTGCCAGAGAAATGAATGTTCATTTCTCTACCACAAGCCGCCTCCAATGTCGTTTTTAGAGAATTTGGCCTCACAACCGCAGACCACGTGTAACCACGCCAGCCCAGGACCTCCACATCCGGCTTCTTCTGAGACCAGCCACCTGGACAGCTGATGAAACTGTGGGTTTGCGCAACCAAAGAATTTCTGCACAAACTGTCAGAAATCGTCTCAGGGAAGCTCATCTTGTCCTCACCAGGGTCTTGATCTGACTGCAGTTCGGCATCGTAACCGACTTCAGTGGGCAAATGCTCCCCTTTGATGGCCACTGGCATGCTGGATAAGTGTGATCTTCACGGATGAATCCCGATTCCAACTGTGCCTGGCAGATGGCAGACGTTGTGTGGGCGAGCGGTTTGCTAAAGTCAATGTTGTGAACAGAGTGCCCCATGGTGCTAGTGGGATTATGGTATTGGCAGGCATAAACTACAGGCAACGAACACAATTGCATTTTATTGATAGCAATTTGAATGCACAGAGATACAGTGACGAGATCCTGAGGCCCATTGTCATGTCATTAATCCTCCACCATCACCTCATGTTTCTGAAAAATAATGCACAGCCCCATTTCGCAAGGATCTGTACATAATTCCTGGAGGCTGAAAATGTCCCAGTTATTCCATGGCCTGCACACTCACCAGACATGTGAGCATGTTTGTGATGCTCTGGATCGACATGTACGACAGCATGCTCCAGTTCCCGACAATATCCAGCACAGCCATCGAAGAGGAGTGGGACAACATTCCACAGGCCACAATCAAAAGCCTGATCAACTCTATGCGAAGGAGATGTGTCGTGCTGCATGCGGCAAATGGTGGTCACACAAGATACTGACTAGTTTTTATTTATCCACGGCCCTACCTTTTTCTTAAGGTATCTGTGACTAACAGATGCATATCTGTATTCCCAGTCATGTGAAATTCATAGATTAGAGCCTAATGAATTTATTTCAATTGACTGATTTCCTTATATGAACTGTAACTCAGTAAAATCTTTGAAATTGTTGCATGTTGCGTTTATATTTTTGTTCAGTGTATATTATTGGAAATAGCCCAATAGTTCCGCATACCCATTACTCAATTCTCAGAATGAGTAGAGGGCAGGCTGCAGCAGGCCTAGTGGGCGGAGATAAGCGCACCATGATTCTTGGAAAGTAGGGGGAAGGTGCAGTCCGATTCCTGGGAGAGCAGAGCAGCAAGCGCAGCAATACCGCAAGGCTATAAAATGACTATGATGAACTTAGACTCGTCTCCAGGAATTATCAATTTGTTTGTTTTTTACACTGGCATTCACAGTAACATATTTCCCCCCAAAAAAACTGAACAGTAAAGGTTTGGACTGGAGTTCACAAACTATAACAGGATCGGTGGCAGCTCCGCATGACGTCAGAGGCGCTGGTGTGCTGAACAGTTCTTGGAATTGGCGAATTTTAAAAGCCAAACCCACACTCTTTCCTTCACACGCTTAGAACCCATTCTAGTGACAATAGTCATCGCACTGCTGCTCTGTATTCTCTTTGTCTAAATTATACATTTATTATAGTGCTTTTGAATTAGTTAATTACCGTCTATTAACATATGGGATATTCGGACGCGTCTTCTCTATTCACTGAACAGATGCGTGGGACATTCAGAACAAAATAACACATTCCTTTGTTTGACCGGCTATATTTTCGTTAAACCGCTGTGGAATTAGACTAGTACGGGATATTGAAGACTGACCATCATGATTCTTTGTGTTCAAGGGTAAGTTCACATTATTTTGTCCCTGTTTGAAGGAAAATTGCATCATGCTTAGATATTGATATTCAAAACCAAAAGACAAAGTCAAAAGTTTTTATCTTCGACATAATATGATCTAAATTAATTTATGGCTATATATCTCGGATAACATACCGAATATAGTCGAATAAGATCCGTGGTCGTTCTTGAATTATGGTGGCATTTTGGAAGGAAATAAATATTTTCGGGTAGGGTACATTTTCCCATTCTCAATAAATAATATGGTAGCTTAATGAATTGATGTATTGTTTTACCAGTAGGAGTAGTAACACCAATGATGGTAACACTAACCAGGTTTCCATCAAACCTTTTTATGCGCCTAAAGTAGGCTACATGTTGGAGAACAAATGTCACGACAGGCCTGATGGAAACAGAAAATGTGTCAGTAAACTTTCCGAATGTAGACAAAACAAAATACGCTAGACAAGGTGGGATCTTTTGTGTTTGTAAAATTAATTATGCGAGAAATGTCGGTGGAAACGCTTTTTACATTTTAGTCATTTAGCAGACGCTTGTAATTTTGAAGTGTGTTTTTTTAAGTGTTTTTCCTGTGTGGCTCAGTTGGCAGAGAATGGCGTTAGCAATGCCAGGGTTGTGGGTTTGATTCCCTGTGCCATCCATATGTATGCACACGACTGTAAGTCGCTTTGGATAAAAGCGTCTGCTAAATGGCATATATTATATATTATGGTTGCAAAGGCCACCACATTTCAAGAACGCCCCATATAGAAAGTGTGAATGGCTATTTGTGGTATTGTCATTGGAAGTTGTTTTATGTAGGCTTGAAAATGTACATATGTGAATTCATATTAGAATACTACACATTTTAACAGTCTAACACCTGTTATGGAGCATCTCAATCAATTCACACCCACAGTCTGTGACACTGTGCTTGATGTGTGGGCTCTTTGTCTGGTCAATGTTCAAGGGAGGGAGGCAGGCAGCTGTCCGAGATTTAATGTTGAGATTTGAGGTCTTCTAAAGCCACAACTCCCAAATGATGAGCTTTGTGCGTGCAAAACCTATTAAAAAACAAACAAAACATTTAGTGTTAGGTCTATCCTAGTGTTAGGACTATCCTAGTGTTAGGACTATCCTATAACAGGGTAGTGGGTAATGTAATGATAGGTTAAACATGTTAGAGATACCAGTGTCCCCCTACTGTTTCCTACACTTGTCCTGTGCTTATTATTGTAGTCTCTTGTATACAGCCCTAGACCACTGCTGTCTGGTACACCCACAGAGGGCCACCTAGGAATGCGGACAGTGAGCGTCTCCTCCCCTCACTGCATTCACAGCACCTCTCCGCAGTGGGACCCCACAAAAGACCTGCGCACCATCGCAAAAAACGTCTTCTACCTTGATACCTCAGGTAATGCAAATGCAATATTCGAAATGTGAACTCAGTCCAACAGGCTCCCTGAAACCCCATCATTGTTTGAATATTTTTCATAATTGCGTTTCAATTCATCCAGCCGACTGTTTACTACAGGCTTATCAATCAAATCTAAACCATTGAATAAGTGAATAACCTTTGACCTCTCTCTCTGCAGGCTGGTACTGGGGAGCCATCACAGCAGGTCAGGCCCATGCAGCTCTGCAGGCAGCGTCAGAAGGGGCCTTTCTGATTCGAGACAGCAGCCATCCCCTGTACATGCTGACCCTGTCTGTTAGGACTGCCCGTGGCCCCACCAGTATACGCATACAGTACAGTGGAGCCCGGTTTCTGCTAGACTCCAGCTCGCCAGCCCGACCCAGCCTTCTGTCCTTCCCTGACGTGCCTAGCATGGTGCAGTACTACGTGGGACCAGGGAGGAAGGTGGAGGAGACTCATGGTGGCAAGCCTGCCCAGAGGACAGTTCAGGAGAGCACAGTACTGCTGAAGCTCAAGCGGGCCCTGCACAAGCCCCAGGCCTTCCCCTCCCTACAGCACCTCGCACGCCTCACCATCAACTGTAGCACAGACTGTCCCGACCAGCTGCCCCTGCCACGCCCACTGGTGCGCTTCCTGCAGGACTACCCCTTCCAGGTATGAGGGTCCTGTGATCTACACGCCTATGGAGGGCAGAGCTGAATTAAACGAAACCGTTCAACTAAATCTTGAGGAGCGCTGTCAGAAATAGGTTCCTGGCAGCTGGAAACCACATCACTGCACTGGTCAGTAATAAAGCCACACCGGACATATGGTTGGTCTTGAGGGGGAAGTGGAGTTCTGCGTACTCTGCCGCAGGAGATTCACTGGAAAACAAAACATGGTGCTAACTATAGTGTATCCCCATGTTATGAGGGATATGCTCCCCACCCTCATGTGCCGTGGGCAGTGAATTGTTTTCCAGTGAGATGTATTTTCAATGTTTTATTGCTGTTTCAGTCACCATTTGTCATTTTTTACCCCCCAACTCTGTACATATCCCTTTTTCTATAAAAAAGAATATTCAACATGAGTCATACTGCTTCTGTCTTCAATGTCATGTTCTCTTTTGGTGGGTCAATGGCCACAAAGAGCTTTATAGGCCTACATCCACAGACAAAAAACTGGGTTATGTAGGCAGGGTCCAATCTCGGTTGTTACGCAACATCAACGTCTAAAGTTACCTTTGTAACAGAAAGCGACTAACCCCCCCCCCTGGTCTAAGTGTGTACCAGAGGAGGCTGGTGGGAGGACGGTTTCATTGTAATGGCTGGAATGGAATTAATAGAACGGAGTCAAACATGTGGTTTCCAAATGTTTTATGTGTTTGACACCGTTCCATTTATTCCATTCCAGCCATTACAATGAGCCCGTCCTCCTATAGCTCCTTCCACCAGCCTCCACTGGTGTGTACACAGCAGATCTACCAGCCAGAAGAGGCTGGCTGGTTTGAACGTGTAAGATTGAATCTGAGTCAGTGGGCAAGTCAGCGAGGGAGGGGAATGGAAATCACTTAATTCCTAGAACTATTGCATGCTTCCTGGGAGGGTGAAATTCTGAGAGGGAGGGTTCTCAGAAAAGCCTCTCAGTAATTACCTTCAGCCTACTGCTCGCTCTGTGACTATCACACTCACTCGCTATCCCTTATTGCCATGCAAACACACATTAGCACCCACATTAGTGTCCCAGGTATAAATGTATGTATCTATGATATATATTTGGGAGGGTTTGTGAATTTTAACTTTTGTGGAGATAAGCGTGTGTGTAAGTGGCGGGGGGGGGGGGGGGGGGGGGGTGTAGTAGCCTGGCCTGAGACCAGTGAAACAGGATCCATATCTCATACAGTCTCTTAACGCTGGTCCTGGTTTTTATCTTTGCCACACTCCCTTTTTTGAAGAATGCAGAAACAAGGCCTATAAGGAACAGAGAGAATATGAATCGGGGATTTAATATTATTATTATTATTATTTAATGTGAATACATTCCTTGATCAAGATTTTGTAAATGGAGTTATCTAACAAAGATTTAGCAGTCTTAGATTTACTCCTGACCTGCCGGTGATGTCATGATGCTTGTGCACATAGTGTAACCCTTGTACACTTCCCTCTACCCACCGCTGGATGAAAGGGAAAAGGGTTACCTAGTCAGTTGCACAACTGAATGCATTCAACCGAAATGCCATCATCCTCCCCATCCAGAGCAGGTCCTCAAACCTGAGGAGGACAACAGTGAGCACTTTAGTTCATATACCTGTTTGAACTGTGAGACTCAAGAAAATATAGCAACAAAGTGTGGGTGCATGCGTGTGTTTGTGTGTGACTGACTGTTCATCTCACCTGAAGACTTCAGGTTCAAGTGATGTCATATCCTCTGAGAATAGGTACTGAAGGTTTCTGACCAACGCTGAGAGTGGACTGCACATTCTCACAATCGTGTCTGCATCTAGAACATAACGTCAAATCACAACCTTGAAATTGGCCAAAATGAATGTTCCATTATTATCTGTATGGTTTATCTTTCTTCACTGATTTCATAATATCCCTCCCCCATTGTTCCCAATAATCCTACCTCTTATCTAATCCATATGGTGAACCTCAAGTCGGTCCTGGAGCCCCAAACTGTAACATACAGCCAATTATGTTAGCACATATTCACACAACATAAAATCAAAATCAATGTAGCTAATCAAAGTATCAAACTATTTCTATCCTGTGTTTTCATGATTACCTATGTGCGTTTTCTCTTGTCAGATTCACAGCATCCTTGTTTTTATCCAAAGCAATTGCTCTGAGCTGAGAGAGAGAGAGAGAGAGAGAGAGAGAGAGAGAGAGAGAGAGAGAGAGAGAGAGAGAGAGAGAGAGAGAGAGAGAGAGCGAGAGAGAGAGAGTGAGAGAAAAAAAAACTAAGATTTGGGTGTTGTTTGAGTGAAGGGGCTCAGAGATCTCGGAACATAATAGGAAAGTAAAAGAGCAAAATAGAGCTCACCTGTGGAAGGCTGTTCAGCAAACTGAGGGAGATGGCACCAGAGCCACAGCCCACTTCCAGGCATCTAAAATGGGTATCCTCACTTACTCCAGTCCCCTGCTTCACCTGGAGATCTGTAAGCACTAAGCCCACCAGCTCCTGCACAGACAGACGTGCAACCATAGCTTGATACAATGTCATGTCTCTGAACTGCGAATTCTGATGTCACAGAATGAAAGAATGTGTGTGTGTGTTTGTGTACTCTCCCGCACATCAGTTTCAGGCCGGGGGATAAACACAGGAGGTCTCATCTTCAATGTCAGATCTCTGATATCCCACTCTTCAATAACATACTGCACTGGCATTCTGAACACACAGCAAATTTCACATGTTCACGAAATGTAGGCTACATTATGCAATGGAATTTGTAGCCTTCCACAGAGACAGAAAAATAGGTCAAGTGCACCTTTACTGACAGTAACATGTTAAGCCTAACATATGTACCTGGTAAGACGTCTGGTACAGAGCTTCCATGTCTGCTCTGTCTGTACATGTGTCAGGAATTCAGCCAGCCTGTCCTGTCCAAGGCTCTCTAATTGGGAGGAGAGAGGTTGAGAGTGAGATGGAAGGCAACAATTCCCTCTTTGGGACACAGATTTCTCTGGAGAAGCCAATGCATTAACAAGGCATTCTGCCTTATCCCAAGGGTTCTCAGCTATAAGCACTGCTTACCGGTGGGAACCATGTGTACTACAACACAGAAACGTCAATAATCATCACTTACGATACGGTTTTCGAAACATATGGAACTTATCTTTCATATCAGCGAGAAATAATATTTCAAATAAAAAATATACACTTCCTGTAGCAGGTTTGCACAGATCCATATGGCTGTGTGCCTCCAGCCGACGAACTACACTGCCGCTACACTTCCTCCCCAGTTACGCTTACACACAGGTGTTCGAGCACACTAGATAGCTAATTAGGTGGTCGCCTCTGTCTTCAGTCTGTCTTCTGTAAACAAGCGCTGTAACATGGAGATATGGCCGTGTGGGAACACTAACCCTAACCTTATAAAGGTGTGTAGTAATTTAACCTTTTGTTTTTTGAAAATGATTTATTGCTGATATGAAAAATAAGTTTCATATGTTTCCAAAACCGTAGTTAGGGTCTATGAATGTCTAGGACACAGACTGAGAAGAGTGAAAATGCAAATGATTTGCAAGGTCACATTCTTTGGTTCAAAAAAACAAACTCACTGTTTTAGCGCCAAGCAAATGTGCAATGATGTACTGGCTGAAGAGACACCTCTCTGCTGGAAATGGCTTGTCCATAACGTGACAGCTTGCTGCACAGCGAGTCTGCTGGCTGTAGGCAAGGCTGGGACGCATTCAGCCACACCAGGAGATGTGCACAGCCCCTGATGAGACGGGGAGAGAGAGCGAGAGAGAGCGAGAGAGAGACACTTGGAACACTTCATAAAAGTAACACTTATAATGCAATCAGTGAATATTAACAGGTTACATTATTATTCTTCAATACCCTTAATTCATTCTAGTTATGGTTATAAATAGTGATGGGCCGATTGATACCGGAGCTCCGATACAGTTTTCAAAGCACTACTGATCCGACACAATTTACCGATACTTGTTTCAAAGTAACATTATCACGTAATCAATGACATCCAAAGCTTTGTTTGATCACGTTGCGAGTGCGAGATCCCACTGATTTCGCCGTGGTTCTTTCAAGTTATTTTCAAACGCCTACCTCTTCTGGACTCCTACAATGTACACTGCTCAAAAAAATAAAGGGAACACTTAAACAACACAATGTAACTCCAAGTCAATCACACTTCTGTGAAATCAAACTGTCCACTTAGGAAGCAACACTGATTGACAATACATTTCACATGCTGTTGTGCAAATGGAATAGACAACAGGTGGAAATTATAGGCAATTAGCAAGACACCCCCAATAAAGGACTGGTTTTGCAAGTGGTGACCACAGACCACTTCTCAGTTCCTATGCTTCCTGGCTGATGTTTTGGTCACTTTTGAATGCTGGCGGTGCTTTCACTCTAGTGGTAGCATGAGACGGAGTCTACAACCCACACAAGTGGCTCAGGTAGTGCAGCTCATCCAGGATGGCACATCAATGCGAGCTGTGGCAAGAAGGTTTCCTGTGTCTGTCAGCGTAGTGTCCAGAGCATGGAGGCGCTACCAGGAGACAGGCCAGTACATCAGGAGACGTGGAGGAGGCCGTAGGAGGGCAACAACCCAGCAGCAGGACTGCTACCTCCGCCTTTGTGCAAGGAGGAGCAGGAGGAGCACTGCCAGAGCCCTGCAAAATGACCTCCAGCAGGCCACAAATGTGCATGTGTCTGCTCAAACGGTCAGAAACAGACTCGATGATGGTGGTATGAGGGCCCGACGTCCACAGGTGGGGGTTGTGCTTACAGCCCAACACCGTGCAGGACATTTGGCATTTGCCAGAGAACACCAAGATTGGCAAATTCGCCACTGGCGCCCTGTGCTCTTCACAGATGAAAGCAGGTTCACACTGAGCACATGTGACAGACGTGACAGAGTCTGGAGACGCTGTGGAGAACGTTCTGCTGCCTGCAACATCCTCCAGCATGACCGGTTTGGCGGTGGGTCAGTCATGGTGTGGGGTGGCATTTCTTTGGGGGGCCGCACAGCCATGTGCTCGCCAGAGGTAGCCTGACTGCCATTAGGTACCGAGATGAGATCCTCAGACCCCTTGTGAGACCATATGCTGGTGCGGTTGGCCCTGGGTTCCTCCTAATGCAAGACAATGCTAGACCTCATGTGGCTGGAGTGTGTCAGCAGTTCCTGCAAGAGGAAGGCATTGATGCTATGGACTGGCCCGCCCGTTCCCCAGACCTGAATCCAATTGAGCACATCTGGGACATCATGTCTCGCTCCATCCACCAACGCCACATTGCACCACAGACTGTCCAGGAGTTGGCAGATGCTTTAGTCAAGGTCTGGGAGGAGATCCCTCAGGAGACCATCCGCCACCTCATCAGGAGCATGCCCAGGCGTTGTAGGGAGGTCATACAGGCACATGGAGGCCACACACACTATTGAGCCTCATTTTGACTTGTTTTAAGGACATGACATCAAAGTTGGATCAGCCTGTTGTGTGGTTTTCCACTTTCATTTTGAGGGTGACTCCAAATCCAGACCTTCATGGGTTGATACATTTGATTTCCATTGATAATTTTTGTGTGATTTTGTTGTCAGCACATTCAACTATGTAAAGAAAAAAGTATTTAATAAGATTATTTCATTAATTCAGATCTAGGATGTGTTATTTTAGTGTTCCCTTTATTTTTTTGAGCAGTGTAGTTAGGATTTTATTTTATTTTAGCATCACCTGAATGGTACTTCAGCAGGTAGAGTCGAGGACCATAAAACACTTACATATGACAGGATATGGGGTTGAATCCCAGAGAAGGCATATATTTAGAAAATATTTTATGTGACACCACATTTTCTGCACATTGTTGTTCAAACAATTTGTTTTATTTGGTATAGTATAAGCACCTGTCTTATTAAGCATCCTACATAATGTGGGCCAATTTTTCCTTGAGCTGATGGTTGGAACATAGTTATAAATCATTTGTACACTGCAAATTGACCGCAAGAATCCCAAACAGATATAGTATTTGAAACAAAAAACAGAATAATTTCAAACCTTGATTACATTGGGATACGATCAAACATGTTTACAAACTTTGCCGCATGAGGGCAATGTGCGCAAGTTGGTGGCAGAACAAGGGGGAGTTCTTATAGAATGCCATCAAAAAGGCCTCTATTAACATGTTCCTTGTGAGTGCATTTGACACTACTTTTGGATTATAATTTGATTTTAAGGCTTGTATGAATGTCCTGCTTAATATGTGTGTGTCATCATCGCAAATCAACTGCATTATACTTTTAAAAAAACACTTCGACCAGTAAAATGCCTCTTTTAGCTAGCTTTTGCTACAGCCTATATCAACGAGCATTAGCATTCTAGCTAACAACTGCTGCATCTAAAATAGTTATTTTGCAAAGATCACAAAAAAATATAATCTTAGCGACTGTTCATGCAAGAATCAAACCATCATTGTAAGCATATGAGAACCCAAAAAAGTTATTTTGTTTAGAAGTAATAAAAACGTACATCTAGGCTATGTTTAATGGGAACAGATGGCGATGGCTTTACTGCCGCCAAGCGTCGTGTGCATCTGTGCGTGACTTCAGTGTAGTGTACTGGAAAAGGGTCTATAGCCTGTCTCTCAATTTATGCGTGGTAACACTTTTGAACATATTTCCTATATTAAAATACTTTGAAGTGATTTCCTGTCCAACAACGAAAATTATAAAATAAATAAATACAAATAATTTGTTTAGAAAACTTGTGAGGCCAAATATATATATTTTTGAAGCCACCTATTGGGGAGCAATGACAAAAGAGCGATTCACAGCAACAAAAAAGGGAGCATTATGCCCACGACTAACTTCTGAGCCCTGACATCAACTCCATCGAACACCTTTGGGATGAATTGGAACGCCGACTACGAGCCAGGCGACCTCACTAATGCTCTTGTGGCTGAATGGAAGCAAGTCCCCACAGCAATGTTCTAACATCTAGACTTCGCAGAATAGTGGAGGCTGTTATAGCAGCAAAGGGGAGACCAACTCCATATTAATGCCCATGATTTCGGAATGAGATGTTCAACGAGCAGGTGTCCACATGCTTTTGGTCATGTAGTGTACCTTAAGGAATAGACGCTAAAAGTAGTTAGCGTCTATGAATGGGATAGGAAAAAGATAGACTGAGAAGAGTAAACATGCAAATTATTTGCAAGGTCACATTCTTGGGTTCAAAAAATTAACTCACTGTTTTAGCACCAAGCAAATGCGCAACGTCGTACTGGCTGAAAAGTTAGGCTGGGACGTATTCAGCCACACCAGGAGATGTGCACAGCCCCTGATGAGAGAGAGAGAGAGAGAGAGAGAGAGAGAGCTATACTTGAGAGAGAATTAGCTATACTTAAACTCTTTAACATCATCCTTAGCTCTGGCATCTTCCCCAATATTTGGAACCAAGGACTGATCACCCCAATCCACAAAAGTGGAGACAAATTTGACCCCAATAACTACCGTGGGATATGCGTCAACAGCAACCTTGGGAAAATCCTCTGCATTATCATTAACAGCAGACTAGTTCATTTCCTCAGTGAAAACAATGTACTGAGCAAATGTCAAATTGGCTTTTTACCAAATTACCGTACGACAGACCACGTATTCACCCTGCACACCCTAATTGACAAACAAACAAACCAAAACAAAGGCAAAGTCTTCTCATGCTTTGTTGATTTCAAAAAAGCTTTTGACTCAATTTGGCATGAGGGTCTGCTATACAAATTGATGGAAAGTGGGGTTGGGGGAAAAACATACGACATTATAAAATCCATGTACACAAACAACAAGTGTGCGGTTAAAATTGGCAAAAAAGACACACATTTCTTTCCACAGGGCCGTGGGGTGAGACAGGGATGCAGTTTAAGCCCCACCCTCTTCAACATATATATCAATGAATTGGCGAGGGCACTAGAACAGTCTGCAGCACCCGGCCTCACCCTACTAGAATCTGAAGTCAAATGTCTTCTGTTTGCTGATGATCTGGTGCTTCTGTCACCAACCAAGGAGGGCCTACAGCAGCACCTAGATCTTCTGCACAGATTCTGTCAGACCTGGGCCCTGACAGTAAATCTCAGTAAGACAAAAATAATGGTGTTCCAAAAAAGGTCCAGTTGCCAGGACCACAAATACAAATTCCATCTAGACACCGTTGCCCTAGAGCACACAAAAAACTATACATACCTCGGCCTAAACATCAGCGCCACAGGTAACTTCCACAAAGCTGTGAACGATCTGAGAGACAAGGCAAGAAGGGCCTTCTATGCCATCAAAAGGAACATAACATTTGACATACCAATTAGGATCTGGCTAAAAATACTTGAATCAGTTATAGAACCCATTGCCCTTTATGGTTCTGAGGTCTGGGGTCCGCTCACCAACCAAGAATTCACAAAATGGGACAAACACCAAATTGAGACTCTGCATGCAGAATTCTGCAAAAACATCCTCCGTGTACAACGTAAAACACCAAATAATGCATGCAGAGCAGAATTAGGCCAATACCCGCTAATTATCAAAATCCAGAAAAGAGCCGTTAAATTCTATAACCACTTAAAAGGAAGCGATTCCCAAACCTTCCATAACAAAGCCATCACCTACAGAGAGATGAACTTGGAGAAGAGTCCCCTAAGTAAGCTTGTCCTGGGGCTCTGTTCACAAACACAAACAGACCCCACACAGCCCCAGGACAACAACAACAACAACA